CTCTGAGCCTGTTTGAGGGGAACCCACGGAGACAGGAACTAACTCCGTCTAGAGGTGGACTCCAGCGGCTAAGGAGGCACATCCCAGCTCCCCGCCTGCAGTTCAGGTGACATCAGAGTTTGCGCATGACTAGGCAGTTCCCCCATGGTGCCCCCAGGGCAGGGCCTGGGCAGAGTCCAAGGCCCAGCAGGTCCCACGTGCCAGGGCCCCGGGAAACCTTTCCTGCAAACCAGGGAGAGGTGCCTCGGTCCCGCCTCAGAGTGGCTCACGGCTGCCACCGCTGTCCCCACCACAGCAGCCAACTTCCTGTTGGTGCCTGCTGTGCACTGAGCACAGAGCCCCCACCCTCCGGCAGGGTGGGACCTTAGTCCTCTGAGAAGGACGCTGAGGCCACGCCTCTGGTGGGCCATGCCTGGCCCTGAACCCACCTTCTCCCCAAGGGCACCTGTTGGTGTGCCTTCACGAGGGTTTACTTTTAGAGGACACACCGGGCTCAGATGTCTCACTGACAGGGCACCCACCTCGTTGATGAAGTCCCCGATGTCACCTGGGTGGGGTACCACAGGCCTGGCTGGGTACTGGGGCTCAGCGCCCACCGGCCGCTCGTCCACCCGCCGCACTCCAGGGGCCTTGCTCAGCACGTGCTCCAGGGCTTCCGGCTGCTGCAGCTGGCTGAGGTCATAGTCCTGGGGACGGAGGCCAAGAGCACTCAGGAGGCCACCAGGTGGGCACCAGAGAGTCCCTGAGTGCACCTTTGTCTTGCTCCTCCACCTGCCAAGTGCACGTCAGCGGTTCTGTTCCCAACCCCAGGACCTCCCTGGCCTCCTCCTACCGTGGCTACCTTGGCGCCATTTCCCAAGTCCTGGCTGACCTCCGGGCACTGTGGGGGCTGTGGCCTCTGCCTTCTCTGGCCTGGTGCTCCACCAGAGTGACCCTGTTTCTCCTACTCTTCAACAACCAAGCACACTCTGCTCTGCCCGGTCCTCTCTGCAGGGAGGCGCTGGGCCTCCCCTTCCCACCAGGCAGCTCAGTGTGGCCACCATCCCTGGTCCTCACCAGGGGAAGCACTGGGCCTCCCCTTCCCACCAGGCAGCTCAGTGTGGCCACCATCCCTGGTCCTCACCAGGGGAGGTGCTGAGCCTCCCCTTCCCACCAGGCAGCTCAGTGTGGCCACCATCCCCTGGTCCTCACCAGGGGAGGTGCTGGGCCTCCCCTTCCCACCAGGCAGCTCAGTGTGGCCACCATCCCTGGTCCTCTCTGCAGGGAGGCGCTGGGCCTCCCCTTCCCACCAGGCCTCTCTGTGCCATCTACCATCCCTGGTCCCACAGCTGCCTCTCTGGGACTGTTGAGCAGGTGGGCATTGGTGTGTCCAGCAGGGACCCTGGTGCCCTCTTCTGTAGGGCTCAGGGCAGCACTGGGCTGGGGTTGGCGGCTGGAGGGAGGAGGAGGATGACAGGGAGGACACAGGTAGGTGCAGGTCTGCTCATGGAGGACCAGGTGGGTGCAGGCTGCCCGGCTCAGCCCAGGGCCAGAGAGGCCTGGGGGAGGCACCAGGGAGGGAGCTGAGAGTCCCCTGCTGCTGCCTGAGGCACCAGCGGAGGTGCCGGCGGCTGGCGCTCTGACCTGGTCCTCCTCGCCTCCGCCCTCCTCGTCGTACTTGAGGATGTTGTCCCGCACGTCGTCCTCGGGGTCGATGAGCAGCTGCTTGGTGTGTCGCTCCTTCTCCCGCCGCTTCATCCACACCACAAACAGCAGGACCATGGCTGTGGGGGCGCAGCGCCGTGAGCAGGGTGCAGCTGTGCGCAGGAGGCGCACACTGCATGCGGTGTGCAGAGGCACCAGCCCGTGTGCTCACCCTCCACATGCACAAGCGCCTGTGTGTCTGGTGTGTGAGGGTGTCATCTGCATGTGGAGCTCGTGAGCACCGTGTGGTCGGGCGCGTGCGTGTTCCATGCATGTCTACACGAGTGCACACGCACGTGCCCCTGTGTGGAGGCGTGTTGGGTTGTGCAGGCCATGGTGCACACTAGTGTTTGGGTGTGTCTCCCAGGTGCAGTGTGCACATGCGAGTGGGACCTCCTGTGCCCGTGAGTGTGTTCCAGCGCTAGCTCCGGGGACCCCACCCTGTGACCATCCAAACCACAACGCTCATCCCTCTGTGAAGTGGTGGAGTGTCTGCCCAGAGCCCATCAGCCCTTCCGGGCATTGCCAACCGGCTCCAGATGGCATGAAGCCTGGCATGGTGTGAATGCCCGGTGGGTAGCCGTTACACTGTGCCCCTCGGGGATGATGGTGGAGAGTGCGGCCACAGGGGCTCAGCCTGACCCTGATGGGGTTTTCCTGAACATTTCTGATCTGCAGTTAGTGGGGCCCAGGGGTGCAGAGGCGGGGATGCAGAGGGCTGGCTGCACTTCCTTCCCTTCTACCTGCAGCCCACAGGAGGCCCCGCCTCGCACACACCTTGCCCCCCAGGGGTACGGGGCGGAGCTGAGGGGCCCACCCACAGGTCCTCTGACCACCCGTCTTCTGCATAGGAAGAGTGTGAAGTTGGAAAAGGAGGTGGAAGGGAGGGTTTGTGGGCACTGAGGGTCTGGGCGGGAGTCGGTGAGGGAGAGGGGTTTCTCCCGATGGGAAGGGGACGGGGAGGGTGCCAACCTGGCAGGGGGTCACTCTGACCCAGCCCACCCAGCACCGAGGGGTAACTGGGGGAGCAGGCTGGGGGCTCTCCCACCACCCAAAGGAACTGGTGCTGCTCGGTGCTTCAGGACAAACCCACACTGTGGACATCTCTCTCCCCACCCACATTGGCCTCCCCTCTGCCCTCTGGGGTCTGTGCCAGGCCCCGCGCCCCTCACTACTCCTGTGCGTCTCCAGACCCTTGGGAAGAGCCTGCCGCGCCTGTCCCCTGCGCTCGGTATCTGTGTCCGGGGTCTGCTGGGTGTGGGCTCTGGCAGGGCTGCACTGCCCAGGTCCTCAGGCACACGTGGTCACTCCTCCGCCCCCTGCAGCTCCTGTCACCTGACTTTTCCACAGATGGGAGACTGAGACCCAGAAGTGATGGGCAATGGCCACACTGTCCAGGGGACAGTGAGGCGGGTGCAGGGACCCCTGGACCTGCGGAAGGCAAGTTGAGTCCTTGGTGTGGCTGCTGAGCCCGTGACAGTCGGGCTCTGAAGCTGTGTGTCGGCTCTGAGGGAAGGACAGTGTTTCCTGAGGTGGCAGAGGGCGGAGTGGTGGCCAGGGGTCCACGACAGGCCCACATTGTGGTGACAGGAAACTAGAGAGCGAGGGTGGACCCCACTGTGTGAGTGGCTGATCCTGAGGAGCTCAGAGGCAGCTCCTCTGCAGCCAGGGCCTCGGGTGTGTCCACCCAGGGGCCAGATGGAGGGCTGTGGGAAGAGGAGGCAGAGCCCTAGGTGCCCTGCCCTGAGCTGGCAGACGCTGGCCCAGGGCAGCAGCCTGGAGAAGCAGCCAGGCAGCCTCCCTGAGGCCGGGCTCCTGGGTGAGTTGGGCCTCACTCTCCACTGTCCACATGGGTGCTCTGGGCAGTGGGGCCACTCCTTGGCCAGCTCTTCAGAGGAACAGGTGCCCCCCACCCAGCTGTGCCCCTCTGTGGGCAGCTCCCACAGGACCAAGTGCATCACCCTGACAAGGGCAGTCAACCTAAGCCCTGCAACAAAACCCGAGTCCAGGGCGGTCAACAGATGGGAAAAATGGCGGAGGCCTCAGAGCTGGGACATCCTTGGATGTGACTCTCTTTGGTGCCTGGGGGCAGGAGGCCAGGGTGGGACCTGATGCCTGGCTCCTGGACGTTCCAGCATGTGGAGACCTCTGACTGGGATGTGACATGGACAGGGGGCAAGACCCCTGCTCAGTCCTCCCTGCCCTCTCCCACGGTCCCTGGGCTGTGGTGGACCAGGGTGGGAGCAGGGGCCACCTGGGGCCTTCCTACATACCCTCCCCTTCCTCACAATCTCAGTCCTGTGTGGGGCCATCTGGGCAGCAGGAGACGCAGGACTCCTGACCACGTGACCTGGGAGCAGCCAGCACCCACTCTGTTCCCTGGTTGATGATTGGTTCCAGTGTGGCCTTGTGACCTGAGCCCATCCAATCAGAGCCCTGAGACTCTGGATGGACCATCGACAACTCCCAGCATTCATGGGAGCTGCCCACGGGCACCGGGGCTGCAGTGGGAGAAACAGAAGGTGGCGGCCACGTTCAGGATGTAGTGGCCGAAGTGTGATCGGAAGGAAGAAGGCGGCCGGAGGGGACGTGGATGTGGCAGATCCGAGGCCGTCCCCTGAGCAGCCCTTGACGCAGGAGGTGGGCGGGTCGGCCTGACCAACTGAGAGACCCTCGTGACGAAGCAGTGACTTAGGTAAGGAAGCGGGAGCCGTGAGGGGTCAGCCACAGAGGGCTGAGGGACGTGGGCGACCATGGGCACCTCTGTCAGTAGCCCACAGGGGACGGAGCACCCAGGTGAGCAGGAAGACTGTGCTCCACATGTACTCAGCCATGACCACCTGGGGACAGGGCCTTGCGCTCCGGAGAGCCGCTCTGGAGTGCCTGACCTCCAGGCACCCGATCTTGTAAGATTGTCACTAGAGTCCCGCTTTTTTAGCTGTACCTTGTGTGAGCCCATTCTCTGGGTGTGGGTAGGTGAGGGTGTTCCTCATAGTGGGGAGCAGTCTCAGGTGCAGGGGCTCTGGGAGGCAGAGTGGGTGCTGGAGAGCAGCTAGGTCCCCTGAGTTGCTGGATCAAGCCCGACCTGCACTGGCCCTGACAGGAACAGGAGGTCCCAATTCCCCCCAGTCCCAGCTCAGGTGGGAGGAGGCGGAGTGAGGGGTGCGGCCCTGGACTCGCCTCCGCCCCCGAGGCCCCTGGTGGGCGGCTGCACTCACTCAGCAGGAGGATGATGCAGATGAGGATGGCCACGATGGCGCCTGTGCCCAGCCCGGCTGCTGCCACGGCGCCCACAGTGGTGCAGTCACCGTTCTCGTCACACGGGCACACCTTGACCTTGATGACGGAGGTGTTGGACAGGGGGGGGTTCCCGGAGTCGGTGACGGTGATAGGGACATCGTACATCCCCGCCTCCAGGTACAGGATGCGCAGGCTCAGCTGGGCGTAGTCACCTGGCACAGAGCAATGGGAGACGTCCAGCTCATGGCCAGGCCCCTGTCCAGCAGCCCTTCTGAGGGGACACCCAGGCTGTGGTGTGGAACCTCAGATATCCATTCGGTCAGCAAGGACATGTGCACGTGCACACACACACACACACACACACACACACACACT